ATCAATATTACATAACATAATATATATTTAGTGGCATTGTATAGTGCATGTCTAGAGTATATATCAAAACAAGTATCTAAGCTATACTTTATATAGTATACTGTATATACTATATGTACATTATATGTGTATATTTGGTTTACTAATTTTCTAAGTTGAGACCTGGTATAAGTGCATTACAAATGCTTACACTTTACTTTTAACCATTAAAAATGACAAATATTTGATATTTGATTTGATTGGCAAAAACATGTTTATATAAAGCCATTCGGCAAATACTAAACTCAGTGTAAACTTTAGTTAATAGTTTTAACTAAAGCTAATTCTCATTTCAATTACTCTACTATTTATACAATTTTTTTATTAGTCTATTATATCTTAATTTTGTTTTTATATTACAATTTAAACAAATAAATATTTACCGATAAATAATATCATTATTACTAATAAATGTAAATCAAATAGAAATTATTTTATCCAATATTCAGTACAGTAAATAAACAAATAAAATGTTTAATTTATAAATAAATATATTAAAAGAGAGTTTTTTATATAATGCATTGTATTATGTAATGAATAATAAGTTAGTGTACATATAGTGCCACAGTGTAAGTGTATGTGTAGTATAACATAACATATTGTATAATAAGCACAGTATATGCTAAATGATTGTACAATATATACATTAAACTGTAATCTCAATGAATTGTTGATACGACTTCTGGTGGGCACACAATGTGTCTTAGCTTTTGAAGCAATAAATGGTTTTTAACTAATTTTGCAAATAAGATATGCCGGCAAACAATTTTTATTTTAAGCATTCAAATGTTGTACAATAGGTTTGTATAACATAATCGTTGACATAATGCTAGAGGGATTGAATTTTTTTTTAAAAATACAGACAAATATTTGATTCAATACTTAATGTAAGCATAGATTCAATATAAGAAAATAAATATATTTAAGTGAATGTCTATATAAATAATATGCGATTTAAATAACTATTAATACATTATAATTGAGCAATTGTATTGACATCATAGATATACTACCTGATCTATAGTTTGTTTTTCACATATGATATTATATATTTAATTTTACGTTATATATTATAATGTATATACAGTACGATATATTTATTTGAGTTTTTAGCAAATTTGTGAGTTAAGCACATAATTATCAATTATATTGTATAGAAATAAAACTCTATGACTATATATGTGAACCATTTGTCGCATACTTTAGATATGAGACAAAGGAAAAGGCAGTAAATAAAGTTGAGTTTTACTGATATCAGTAAATATCAGTAATTTGATTGCAAAGAGAGAGAGAGAGAGAGAGAGAGAGAGAGAGAGAGAGTCTTTGGAGAAACGGAACAAACAATGATGACAACACCTAATGATAACCTAATGTTAACCTAAAGTTAAAGCCAACATTAATACTAATCATAAAACTCTATAAAAATAATAATCATGTGTTGCTTAGAAACTTTGAAATAGCTGTCAATTGTTTTCTAACTCTCGACTATTGTTATATTCATTGTCTTATCAATTATGCCATAGAAATGAATGAATGAATTACATTATACTGTAAAACACAATTGCTTTTAAACATAATGTATTACACAATGAATTTTAGCGCTCAATAACTTAACGACTGACTCATTCAGACGATTATATACCTTATTATTGTTGTTATATATAATATGTTTGTTTATCTTAAAATATTTCATTTTTTTATCTAATGTTTTGAATATTGCATTTATATAACTATGATATTAATTGAACGATAAAAATAAAAATAAACGTTTTTAATACTGTAAATGAAAACATTAATAAAAAATAAAAATAATTGAGAAAAATATTTACATTATATAAATTAACAATTATTTATATAAGTTTTTAGTAGAGTATGTATGGTATGCAGAGAAGTGTCAAAAAATATTGAAATGATTGAAACCAATGAAGAATGAGGCGAAATGTCTCAACAAATGTGGCCATAAATTAGGCCTTTTTATCGCCACTATATGATTGAAGCCATCTGTCAATCATAAAACTATATTCAATGCAATACATGTATAGCTTCAAGGGATAAGGCTTTCATGTCATCAAATGGTATAATAAAGTGTATATAAAACGCCTCAAATAAAGCGATACTGATTATGATTATCCCAAACAAAGAGAAATATTGAATAATAAACCACTTTTATATATAAATTGCATTTACTTTACAAATGCATGAATTAAATTAATCGCAATCAATATAATATCATAATTCCCTAATGTCTACTACATATGCTTATGCCTTATGCCTACCCAATGATATTTATATTATTATATACTGTATATACAGTACAATATATACCGTATATACAAATTATATAAATAGATTAGACATTCAATTCATACTTTATGTGTATAAAACGTTTCGTTTTATCAATTATTCAATTCAAAGCCATACTCTAGAATAGGCATCAAATAATCAAATAAAAAAATAAGAGTTCATCAAAAGTTTACATCAATATTCACTATTACAGCATTACAGGCATTAGAGGCTTGAATTAATTTGCAGCAAAACTTGAGACGAGAGAGAGAGAGAGAGAGAGAGAGAGAGAGAGAGAGAGAGAGAGAGAGACTTATGTAGTAATAGTTAAGCCTTAAGGCTTTGGCGGACTCTTTCCGGCTCATTGTTTGACTCTATGGGAGGTTTGCAGTCACTCTACATATAGTAGGCAACACTGAGAATATAAAAGTATAGTTTAGTTGTGTATATAAAAAGCACAACAACTCAATGTTGAGACACAACTAACACTAGAGTAACACAAATTGGCATCAATTGCACTGAATTGCTATAAATGCCATTCAATTGCATTCTTATGAATTGAATTTTTCTTCAAAACTTAACTTTCTATACATTTTAGTGTATGTTATGAAAGCTATGAAATGCATTTTAACTCTTAAGAGATATAGACAGACAATAACATAGCAGTAAATTGCATCATAACATACATAACTTAAATTATTACTATAACGCCCACATGTTTTCATTGTTGATTTTTATAACCAAATGGACATCATTTTGTGTCTCATTTGTTTAAATATTTTAATGGACAGCAAGTTGTCACTGAATATAAAAGACCAACAAATGCCGGAAACATATTAATCGTTAGTTTCAATGAAATGATGGCAATTCATATAAAAAACTCAATGTGTTATCTAATCATCAAATAATCAAACGTTTTCATACAAACTATAATAGACTTTGAATTCATTGTTCAAAATTGAATGATTTAAATGAACACAAATTAAAGCAATAGTTAATAATTTGTTTAATTCATTGAATTTACTTCAATGAATACTATAAATTCAATAAAAACATCAGACAATAATGTGTTAAAAAAATTAAATATATGTCAATCCCTATCTCAATCTTAAGCATCATTTTTATGAATATTAATATTTTTAAAGTTTTCAATTCATTGATTCAGTGATAAAACAATGAAATTAGAAAAGGAGTGATAAGTTTTATGTCAAACATTATTTACGGCTAAAGTTGTGAATTAAAAATCATAAATATTACAACTAAGTGAGCCGTAAAAGTGGAAGTCATAAAAAGGGTGTGCTATTTGAATGAAGACTTATGTGCTATAATGTTAATCTACGAATGAGACGACAAAATATATAGTAAAGAGTATAACAATTGAAATGCCAGTTAAAAGACGTGAGAAATAAGCTTTGGATGCAATGAGACACGGATTGGACCATACATTCAATCAAATAATCAAATGATTGTATAAACCTATGGGTATTCCTGTTGGCGTTATTTCAATATTAATACTGAATTAGATCCGCATTTTGTTTTAAACATTAGTCAAAAGTAAGGTCTGTTTTATGCATTTTCCCACAGAAAGCGTTTATAATGATTAGTTAGTGACACAACACACAGCCTATTGCCATCATTATTGATATTGTGTTTGAATTGGATTCATATATACATCCGTCTAATAGGTGTAAGAGTAGGTTCACCTGACGTTTGTATTGATAGATGCGGTCGTGTGACAGGAAATCCAATATTATTGCTAAAAAGCAATGCATTTCCTGCTCAACACGTGTACTATATATTAGCTCAAGTATTCAACATATTTATGCTCATAATTTTGATTATATAAATTATGACTGATTGATGATCGATACTTAAAGTCTAAGTATAATAACTATAAACTATGTTAATAATGTGTCCGATTAGTCACTAATAGTACTATTGGCCAAATTATAACAGTATATATATATATTGTACTGTATATAAATGTTAGGTCGCGTATCATTAAACAATATAAATATAAATGTGCAAAATTACAATTGCAATAATACACTTAAATAATAGTAATTATTTTTAGGTCGATATACTATCAAATTGTGATAATGTTATCGTAGTAACGGCAGGTCATAATAAAAGGTGAATAAATTTAAAGAGGAAAGACTCACCTCACAGCTCATACATACTATCATCAAGTATTGGCCTCATTGTCATTATGTTTCATGTGATTGATTATTACAATCATTTTATCACCACTAATGCTGATAATGATACCCTATGATAGCCTATACAACATATTTTTGACAAATATCAGTGTCATATGAATTTAGTTTCATATTTTTGACTCAAAATTTGAGTTTCTGTGGAAAAACACAGTCAACAGATTGGTTAGTGACCCAAAACAAGTGGCCATTCATATCATCTAATGATAAGACATTAGTTATAGTTGTCTGTAAACATACCACTCTTATAATCTTTACTATCAATTTTGTTATCTCATATGTCTATTGAACTTTAAATAATTTATAAGAAATTGTTGAACAAAATTTGGTTTAAATAAAAAACTTTATTTTAATTATAATTGTAATTATAATCATAATTAAATGACAAATTGATTAATATTAATAATAATTGTTATAGATAATTGTACTGATAGTACAATATTAGTATCAATACATATGAATCAATAAATGATTTACACAATAGTTATAATACATGATCAGAGATGTGTAGTACAGTATGTTTAACGGTTAACAATTGAGAGCTGCGGCACATATATGCAGGTGTCTCACAGCTATAGGCGTTAGGCGTTCCGGGTTTCACACGGCATCGACTCTCAAATAGGCATAGGCTTTGTTCCAATGGTTTAGTATTGAATTTATTAAGAAAATTACTTTATTTTCAAACGCAGGTGGACTCGACTTTCCATTCATTTAAGCTTAGGTTAGGACTGTAGGACAGTGTGAGTGTCACTAATGGCAATCAATGGTTAACTAAAGATGGCTTTAGATGGCAATGAAATTATGAGATTTATACAAATGTTAACTAAAAATCTATGCCGAATGATATAGAGAGGAATGATGATAATATGAGGCATCATTAGCCATAGTAGTGTGACCCGGTGCCAATGGGGACAGGGGAGGGTAAGCGCCGTACTGCATCTCATATAGTTTCATGTCTGCCTTGTTCTCTGAGGCTATAATGCTTGAGATTGAGAACGGGTGGTCTCGAGTTGAGTTATAATGGGGATCAGCTTTTAACTGACCTGCGAGAAGCATACTTTGGTGATGCAGAACCCCAGCTCCAGACCCGTACAGACCAGAGTGCATGTGATGTTCCATTTGGGACGAGTGGTGATGTGCCGATTGGTCTAACTTTGAACAGTCATCACCAATGTTTGCGTTGACGTGTCGGTGATGGTCTAAATGGTGATGATGTGAATGGTGTGAATATGGGTCACTCATAGCACCGTTCATTTGTGGTGGACTGACTCCTCCACTGCCCGTATGACCGCTACTCTGGTGGTTGTTTTCATTGGCATTTTTGGTCGATCCGACTATCGATTGTTGGCTATTGCTGTTACCAGTGCTTGAACTCGAACTCTGGTTTGACTTCTGGTTCTGACGAATGCTATCTTTTCTGTCCACTTTAAATCTCTTCTGTCGTCTCAAATAACAGCCATTTTCAAACATATTACCCGAATCGGGATGTAGTGTCCAAAAGCTCCCTTTCCCTGGTTTGTCCGGTGTTCGCGGAACTTTGAGAAAACAATCATTAAAACTAAGTGAATGTCTGATCGAGTTTTGCCATCGCTGTTGATTTTGACGATAATATGGGAACAAATCCATTATGAACTGATAGATCTCACTTAAGGTTAACATTCTTGATGGACAGTTCTGGATTGCCATTGTTATCAATGAGATATAAGAATAGGGAGGTTTGGCGTGTGTATAGCTTCTACGGTATGACTTATCAGCCCTTGCTTTCTGTAGCAAAGCATTGGCACCCAAACTCATCTGTTCCGATGATGACGACGAACCAAATTCGCGGTTTGACATAAGCCCGCCATTCATTGATGTCATTGATCCCATACAAGTCGGAGATGTCATACCATTCATAGCATGTGAGTTCATCGATGACAGCGGTGTAACAGTACTACCCGCTGCTGGTGACATACAGGGACCGCCTGAGTTACCGCCGCCTGAGCCAGGAATGCCTGACATACCTGTCGGTGTGGGCGCTGAGACACTGGTGCCCATCGGCACTGAATTCGATGATATCATGTTTGTTGTGAACGACTGTCCAGCCGGTGAATAGCCGGTCATATTCATGCCCGACATAGTGTAGGACATGGATGGACTCATTGAAGAAGTCATATTTGTGTAATTGGGAGCAGAGATCATACAATTGGATGACTCTTGATATGACTTATGTGTCAACATTTTTGTCACTATTAATGTTCAAAATTTTGGCATTAATTCACAAATAAATCAATTGAAACAATACTTGTAAAGTATTTGTCAAATAAAAACTAATTTAATTGATTATTAGCTCATATATAGTTAAAGTTGTGATTGTTTTTCAAACTAATATAACATTTGTAGTGATGTTTGAATCATTGGATCACTTGTTGTAGACTTGGATAGAGTGATGCAAACATTACAATATAGAGACATATGCTATAAATGTGTGCAAACGTCAAGTCAATAGACAGACACTCTCTAGTGTTGTGTTGTGTGAGTTGTGATGCTCTCAACACTCCGGCACTCGACTTAAGCAGAGGTGGACTGTATGTGCAGCTCCTCCTCAAACCAATATCTGATCGATGACTGTGACGACAACTAAATGCCACCAAATAGTGAAGGAGTGGTAGACGGTGTGGTGGGAGGGTATGTGGACAAAGCCGTACTTAAAATAATATTATTCACTATTTTTTACTAACTTTGACGGCGTTTCCCAGTATTTCAGTATTTTCAACACCAAACAAATGCTTTAATACTTTGCAATACATGTGATACGTATGACTGTATTAAATACCATATACTGACATAAACTGAATATACTGTTTATACTGACATAAACTCATATATACGGCACTCAGTCATACAAACAACGGCACTATTGCTTAGTTGTGTACCCAATGTGACAATCATTTGCTATATACTAATGTAATACACGATTCTTTCATCAAACATAATGTTCCTGTTTTTGGCTCTTTTCTAGCATTTCTAGCACTTATATAGTGCTATAGTGTTGGTATAGGTGCACATCATTTGCACATCCATTTCCATTACCATCTAATTTGTTCGCTGCTTAGCAATAGTCCAAAGTCTAAGCAACGATAAAACAATGATATTATCGTATATATTAGCAAAAAGGGAAAGGGAGGCAAAGGGGCAACAACTGATAAGTGGAGGGTTCGCTGTATCGTATAGTCATATAGTGGTACAGTTGTGTTGTTGTCGTATATACAATATCACTGTCACTGACTTGACGTGGACTTTGTGGCAAAAACTTTATTAATTTATCATAAATATACAGTTATTACAAAACTAAGTTTAGACATTTTTATAAATATCCAATAAATTTAATAAAATAATATTTTATATATTTTTTACATTGTACATTTACAAATTAAAATCTTAAAAATTAGTTTAACTTAAATGAATATTAAGTGTGATATACACTGTATAGTATTCAATGTATAGTATAGTACATACAAATACTGTATATATACTAACAACTAATGACCATAAATTTAAACTTATCTATTAATACTTAAAATTATTTATATCTTATCAATCTAAAGGTCAAAACATAAATTTTATCAGTGATTCTAAGCAGTTATTAATGTATAATACAGTATTTATTGTCTTTATTTCAACGATAAATTTGTCACAAATGCGGTCACATTGTTGGTCACCAATAAAATTTAAATAATAAACTAACAATTAATAGTTACTAGCAGTAAATAAGTTATATATAAAAAATATCGTGTAGTATATTATTAAATTTAAAGTTTTTAATGTACAATCATTTTACAGTAATATATAATATATTGATACAAAAAAATAAGTTATCTTTTTATTAACTAAACAAATTATTATACTTTTACTTTGTAAGATTATATAGATTATCAATGCTCTAATATTAATGGATTAATTATTATTTTTAACGTTATACTTATATATCTATAGTATAGTAAATTTTATGTTTTATTCCCCTTTTAAACTTATTAAAGTTTTAAAATATTTTTAAAATAATTAAATGTAATATATTTGTTTTGGATTAATATTAGGGATTGTATTCTAAATAAATTCTATAAAAGCACTGCTAATGTTAGTGTTACAACAAATAATCATTTATACATAATTTTAAAAAATAGATGTTATATAAAATTGAAATAAAAATGTTAGTTAATGTTATTTTACAGTCTTATTTAAGACAAGATGTTTAACAATTGTGTGTCAGATTTAAAACTAGTTTTAGTGTGACATTTGAATTAACTGTAAGGACAAACATTGAAGAGTCAAATCAAATGTTTGTCACAATGAGTAGTATTGAATCATTTCATTGATTGTATGCTTTTAATATTATCATCAAATGATAGGTATAGTCAACTATATTGTCTTTTTATATATAATTTGAATTCAAACAAACAGAGCTTAAGGTCAACATTAGTTTAAGTGTAGTTTGGAGTTGAAGTCCGTCAATACGGTATTATAAATATTGATAGTATATAATATAATATATATATACTGTATATATATATATATATATATATATATATATATATATATACATATATAGTGTATCCACTTGTATGGACTGTTTGATTGTGTGACTGCTGAGCAAATTTGTTTCACTACTATATACAGTATATATATATATATATATATTTATAGATCCATCGAATTATATCTTTAGGTAAATAGCAATGAACAGGTAAATATTATTATTCAATGTTTAATACCAGTGCAATAGGACAGTAGTCACAGCACCGACATTATACTGTAGTATAAAAAGGCTGACACACAACACATACTCATTTTATATATGATGTGTTTAGTGAACTTCATGAACATCATTAAGTCTATCATCTCATCATTTAATATTTTTACTATACTTTAATTTAATGTATATAAATATATTGACGAATATTTCTTTATTCATCATATTTTATAAGTTGTCTTAATTTTTCCGTAATATAAAAAATAATTTGTTGGTATAAAACTAAAAATAATGTACTTTAATATCTGTATTAAGACTTTGGTATCACTCATGTTCTCAAAAGTAGTATTTTTTGCTTAAAATCTTGTGTTATAAACATTTTAAGTTTTTAATCCTCTCCTCTTAAAGATCTTATTGTGGATATTATAAAGAAAACTATATTATAACAAAAGTTAAACGTGTTTAGCAAAGTATAACATAATTATATATAAAATACCAAAATTTTAAATATATTATAATTCTATTGTAAGTCATAAGCGGTATAAGCAATGATGTCGTGTATGTGTTAGTGTCATCTCAAATACAAAACATGCCTTATATTACAGTATATAACGAAATATCATTTTTGTGACAAACTTTTTGCACGCAATCTCTTTTATATTCGTCCTCTATTATTGATATTCAATTTGATTTTATATAAAAATATAAATAATATATATATACCACTTATAATATAAAAAAGGTAAACCAATTTTTATTTATTTACTAAAAACTTAATTAATTATTTTTATTATGAAGATTAATATATTGATTAGCATAATATATTGAAATTTATAATACTATTACCTAAATAATCTAAACGTGTTATAAATTTTTTCTTTTATGTCATATATTGAAAATGAAAATAAATGTCGTTGTGATCAATGTTTCCTTCTTTAGTTGGTTTTGTCATCCAATAGATTACACGAACGCAACACAACATCACATTAAACGCCAACTTTTCTCATATCATATAATACTATATTTTCACTCTTGTATTAAGTTTTTCTTTTCATAGCGTATTTCAATTGCAATTCAAATGGGATTCAATGACAAGATATAAAAGATTCTCTCTCTCTCTCTCTCTCTCTCTCTCTCTCTCTCTCTCTCATGCAATGGATTGATGTTATACTGCATATAACGGCAAATACAAGTACAATATAACGCCGTATTAATCCATCCTTTTTGAGTTTGGATGGCTCGGCATTTGGGGGAAAATCAAAATACATAGAATATACAGTACATGTGAATCATTGCTTACTTTGCACTCAATAATATTCATTTTATTGTTTAGTATATATATATATATATATACCATATTTGATCTAAAAACTATTTTTTGCTACAAATGTTACACAAATGTTAACATAACATTAATTTATATTTTTGATATCAAATCAATATTTTAACAATTTAAAAATATTTTGGTACCATAACAAAGAAGTTATATCACAAATAATATACTCATTATACAATATATATATATATACATTTGTCGTTTAAATAGCATTTAAAATTATTACTTATATTTTATTATATATTATACTTATGTGCTATAAAATCATATACATTATTAAAATTGGACATCTTATATCGATTTGTTTTTATTTGTATTTAATTAATATATATATTATTATTATATTGAATTAAATAATTGACAATTATTTTTTTAAACTAATTTTTAGAAAAATGAGAATTTGATGAGAAAAGAGCTAAAATTTAATGGACAGACATTATCCGTATACTGTATTATCTTTTGTTCAAACTTAGTGTAGCTTTTAAAAAGTAAGCTATAGTTTAATGTTCAATAATATATATATATATATATATAGTGTATATGAGTAATGTAAAACAAAAATATACAGTATATAGTAAATACTTATTTTGACAAAATAGAGAGTCGGATGAAATTTCTAAGCAAATGCACGCTTCACTACTTCCGTTGAGTACAGCATCCACTGCACCAACAGTTTGGGCAATAACTACAACCTTTACTCTACTCTACAACACTACAGCATTACTATCGACAGCATTACCAAATTCAACACAACTCTACCGTAGGTTTTATACTATAGACTGGTGACTGGTGTTGACATAAGAAATGAAGGCTCGGATGTTGGATAAAGCCATAAGAATCTACACATATATATATATATATATATATATATATAACATATATAACATAAACTTTGATAAAATAAAAGCTCTACAATATTGATGAATCAAACTATACATCTGTGCCCATACTATGTAACATTGAGGGAAAATATGAGATGATTGAGGACAGCATAAAGTAATAGTGAATGAATGGTTTGGTGAGCAAATGCATCTATAGCTCCGTCATCACACCATTGCCATTATATTTTATATTATATTATTACATTGGTTAATATAAACATTTAAGTATTGCACATTTCATATTGATTCAAACATATTATACTAATCATATAACAAACTAACAAAATTTAGTTTTAATAATAAATATACTTTATTTATACTGTGTGTGTATATATATAATTAATATAATCTCAATAAATTTACATAATATTTTATTTGAATTTAAACTAAAAATAAAGAACTAATAATAATAGTGATATAAATAACCGAAAAATTTTTAGTGAATAGTTTTATAACAAATATAAATATTAGAGCAGTTTTTAAATGTAATATTTATACGATGATTGTGTAAAAAAGTCAACAGAAAAGTTACGGTCATAATTGATATAACACACGCATATAACTGGGTTATTGTCAGGTAAGCCTAAAATACACAAAATATCAAAGAAATTAGACAAATATGTGACAATATATACATTATATACATAAATAAAAATTTATTTAAAATTTATTTGAAAATCCGGAACTTTAGGATTAACAGAGATGTAGAGCGCGTGCCTTAAGTTATGATTATTTAAGAAATTGTAACGAAAAATAAGTGTTTAGTTATAGTTTGTTTGAGTAATTTGTTGGCACACTTGGCACACGACGACAATTATAATATTGTAAATATAAATACAAATTATATAATGGCTTTTAATCGCTACACAAATATCTCACGCCTTAAACCTCACACTCTTTAACTGTGTTTTGGCTGACATTACTTGACTTCCGTTGCTTAAGACGACAACATTTACTTATTGAGAAAAATGGGTGAATATTAAAGCGTATCTCTAATAATAAGACTTTTCAAAAATATATTACAATTGTCATCGTTTTAATGCAAAAGTAAAAAGTTAATCTCTTTAAAAATGTAAACGATTTACAACAATAGGCAAAGCCATACAATACTATTGCCTAATATACCAGTGCTCTCATAACTTTCATATAGCATATAATTTCTGTGGTTTGAAACCATATATTTTGCATTTTGTCAAATCTGCCCCCAAAGGACTTTATAATCTGTAATGTATTACATATTTGGCCATTCAGTGAAAAATCGGCGGAAACCGAACCCAACATTTTAAGCAACGGATCACAAAATACCACAT